CATATTAGTTTGGTAGGGCTGCTGGAACAGATTACCAGCAAGTAGGTGGCAAAAGTAACAAATTTATTTTCTCATGGTTCTGGAGGCTGGAAGTCCCAGTCAGGGTGTCAGCAGGGTTGGTTGCTTCTGGAAGATATAAAGAGAGGCGCTGTCCCAGGCGTCTCTCCTTGGCTTGTAGGTGACCATCTCCTCCCTACGTGTCCTCATGTCATCATCCCTCTGTGCATGTCTATTTCTCTGTCCATTTATATAAGGTCAGCAGTCGTATTGGATTGGAGCTCACTCTAATGACCTCATTTTAACTTGATTAACTCTGTAAAGACCCTGTCTCTAAATAAGGTCACATTCTGAGGCACTGAAGTTAGGATTTCAACATATGAATTTTGGGAAGAAATAGTTTGGCCCATAACATTAAGGGGCAGAGTATCAGAATGATTCCAAAGCCAAGTAAACAGAACCAGGGGCACACAGGTTTCTGAAAATGGGAAAAAAGGAGACAGCCTAAGTAAAATATGAAACATGATGGGCTCCATGGCTGCTGAAGGGGTGGAGCCAAGCAAAGAAAATGGGGCTAGCAAGCACAGCACACTAGGAAAGATGCCTTTTCCATATTCATGGTGTGGTGGAACTGGCATGGCTTCAGTAAGGCCTGTACATCCCTCTGACTGTATAACTCTATGACCCTGAGTCACTAAAGCCATTATATGGGCTTAAATTCTAATACAAGGTTGGGAGTCTCCAAATAGAAGAGCTTATTTCCTAAAGAAGCATCTTTCTTCATGGCCTCCTTTAAAAACAGAAGATCAATCATGATTGTTTCAAATGGTCAATGACTGGCAGTACAACATAGTCTGGACAACACCTGAGGAACCCTTAGTATGTATTATTTAATGATCCTATGAACATTCAGGAAGATGAAACCAATTTAATCTTAACATGTAAGTACACACAAAAACATAAATTAAAATAACTGTGACAGACTTCCAGTTATATTAATGACAGAAGAACTTACCTTGGGCTAACTCTCCTGCAGATAGCTGTTATAAACTCTGGACAGAATACTTTTGTTAAAAAAGCTATTTGTAATCTAACTAAAAGAAGGCAGAGAATGTAGGAAATTTGATCCTTGAGAGGGTCACTGGACTGAAGGAGAACTACCTTTCTATAGCTTCTCCTATGAGGGCATGCCCCAGTCCACAAAGAACTATTAGAACTCAAGGAGAAAGCCACAGCTGCAATGGCTTGAGGTCTTAGGGGATAGAGTTCAGGGCTTCCAGAGTGGCTGAAAATTGAGTAAGTTGCAGAAAGAAAAGAGCCATAAAGAAGAGAGCCCTCCATTCTGTATACAAATTTCCGTCAATCCTTGAATAACCCGTAAACTGCATATGTGTGGGGAGTATGCCAATGAACCTAGTGGAAAACAATAACTAGAAAGCCAAAAATGCTGAGCAGAGATTTCAGCAGCTGCCTACTGCTGACAGCTACTGCCTATAAAGTTCCGAATTTGAATCCCACCCAAGTTACAGGGGCTTGGTAAATGCTGCAGATTTTCTATTGAAACCCCAGAAGGGTTGTGCCTTCAAAGGAGCCACACTCATATTAAGGGCAAAACCAAAACAGATTCTTCCTAACAAAGTATAACACTAAGTATCCACAAGTTCAAGCTAATCAGCTAAAAATTTTGCAGCCTGATAGAACAAAAAAAAAAAAAAAATCACTGTTTAAAAGAAGAAAAGAGAATTTAGAATCTCTAAAACATAAAATTTACAATGTTCACTAACCAAAAATTTTTTTTAAATGAGTAGGAAAATGTGATCCATGATCAAGAGAAAAAATAGCCCCTGTAATAGACCCTGGGGTGACCTAGATATTAGAATTTTCAGACAAGAATTGTAAAGCAATTACTCTAACATATCCAAGGATATAAAGGAAAAGATAGTCATCATGACTGAAAAGAAGGAGAATCTCAGCAGGGTAATGGAAACCTATAAGAATAACCAGATAAACACTTTGGAACTGAAAAATGTAACATTTGAAATAAATGAAGAGTAGAAACTACAAAATAATTAGTAAACTTAAACTCATATCAGTAAGAATTGTTCAATGTGAAAAACAGAATAAAGATTAAAAACCAATCAACAGAGCCTGAGTATAGGAAAATATCAAGTGGTCTGATATACATGCATTGTGGTGCCCAGAGGAGAGGAGAGAAAAAATAGACCCGAAAAAAAAATCTGAAGGAATAATAGCATAAAACTTCCCAAATTGGATGAAAACATTAATATATAGATTCAATAAGCTCAACAAGCTGCAAGCAGGATAAACACAAATAAAACTACACTGTGGAACATTATGGAAAACTAAACAGAAAAAGAAAATCTTTAAGGCAGCCAGAGAAAAATAATGTATTATACACAGAGGAACACAGATACAATTTACTGAAGAATTCTCATCACAAACATGGAGGCTGTAATACAGTGCAAAAACATCTTTAAAGTGCTGAAAGACAAAAAGAGATAAAGGAAGTACTGTCAAGCCAGAATCCTAAATAACCAAAAATATCCTTCAGAATTGACGGGAAAATAAAGACATGTTAAGATGTCTGAAATATGAGAGAATTCATTTCCAGTAGGCCAACACTACAATAAATTGGCAAAGAAAATTTTCCAGGCTGAAGGGTAATAATATGAGATGGAAGTTCAAACCTATAAGAAGAAAATATATATAGGAGATGATAAATATATGGATAAATATTTTTTAAATTACTTAATGTAAGAATCAAAATATTTTGTGGGATTTGTGATGTATGCAGATGTAAAATATGTAACAAAATAGCACAGACAATAAGGGAAGGCACGTGGAATTTTACACAGCTGCAAGGTTTTCACATTTTATGTGAAGTGATATGATATTAAATCTAAGTAGACTGGGGATTAGGTAAAGATGCATAGTATAATACCCAGAGAAACCACTAAAAACAAATACCCAAAAGCAGCATAGCTAAGAAGTCATTGCAGTAATTAAAATAAAATACCAAAAAACAGATTAACATAAAAGATAGCAGGAAAGAAAAACCAGAAATGAAAAACAATAGGTATCAATAGAAAAATAGTAAACCTGAACCCAGCCATATTCGTAACTGCATTAAATAGAAATGGACTGTCATAGTCCATTTAGTGTTGTTATTACAGAATACCTGAGCCTGAGTGGTTTATGAAAAAAAGAGGCATCCTTAGCTTGCAGTTCTGCAGGCTGTATGGGAAGCAGGGCACCAGCATCTGCTTGGCTTCTGGTGAGGGCTTCTATGCTGCATCAAAACATGGTAGAGAAGGGCAAAGGGTAAGTGCACAGGTGCAAAGAGAGAAACCTAAGAGATGGCCTGGCTTTATAGCAACCCATTCTTCCAGGAACTTTTCCATTTCCTCTAGAGCTATTTTATTCTCTCAAGAGTGAGAACTCAGTCACCTTCAGGGAGGACATTAAGCTGTTTATGAGGGATTCATGCCCATGACCCAAACACAACCCTCTAGGCCCCAGCCCCCAGTACCACCACATTGGGGATCAAATTCCAACATGAGATTTAATGGGGACAGACAAACCATACCCAAACTATAGCATGGACTGAAAACTCCAATTAAAAGGAAAAGATTGTCA